AAGAGTGCCAAATGGACAATCAGTAGGTCCATGCTCCAGCCTCATCTAAATTTAACAAAAAATGAATCTCGCTGTATAATTGTTTCACTTAATTTTGAAGGAACCAATTTATTCATCCTAACAGCATAACTTTATACAGAAAATACACATTGTTCACATTCTTACTGCAGTTTAAATGCTGCAAAATGTTTAATGTAACATAGCACAGTTCTGGTTACATTCTATAGAAAGTACCTTTTCTTTTAGCACAACTGCAAAACTTTCCCCCATAGATCAAGAAGGCATTAAGCATTTGTAGAACATTTGCCTAGACTTGTCTATGATTTGGTTTATGTGTAACAGATTATAAATACATTATTAGGTAACATATAATATATAACCATTTATATACACATGCATATATGTATGCTTATCAGAACAGCAGAACACCATGTTGCTAAGTCTGTTTTTCCGAGTGGTACTCTTCCGAATCATAGAAAGCAGAAGTGCTTGTTTGCCATCCAATGTAGCAGAAAAATGCTAGGTACCAACATCAGGAGAAATACTTCTGTCCACATTATCTACCTGCATCAATTTGTTCCATCTTCTTCCATCTCATCTTCACATTTGTGTATTCTGTCTCATTTTATTTTCATTCTACCTAACAGTCTTAACATTGTTTGCTTATATCTCTGTAAAAACAACGTAGCATTTTAATGTACGAAAAAGCAGAACAGGGAAGTCAAAATAGTACCACACAATCAGCATTTCTATTATTCTAGAAAAAATTCTGTCTTTCTTTCCAGCAGACTCCTTAAAAAAACTACAGCTGCTTGGCAGCAATCCAAAATACAACTAGCCTATAGAGAAGAGGGGGGAGAATAATAATCATTGGATACTTGTGGGGCAAACATATGTAATAATTTAGTTAGAGACTTGAAAGGAACCAAAAGTGAGGTAAGCAAAGACTGCTCCAAACATACAGGTTCTCCTTTGAGTAGCTTACAAGAAAGACCTCTGAAATTAAAATATTCCTGTCTTAGTCCTGAACTCCCATGACAAATGGAGCTGTTGACCCAGCACAAGCTTGCTTACAAGCTTTTAATGGAAAAAAGCATCTCACATTCATAGAATCATACATCAAGCATCATCTCAAGAGAAATTCTGTTGATCTACTTCATCTGGAGTAAAAAGGCTATTCAGAACTTCCACTTCATGAAAATTGTTTCAAAAAGTAATTAGTTGGCAAAGAGGTGAACTGTTTAAGATCAACATGGTAATTTTGAGTAAAATTTATCATTACTTTCAAAATATATTTCAAAGTTTCTCAATACTTACTTCTTCAGGTGTAATTACTCCAGTTTCTTTAAACTTGGACTCCTGCAATAAAGAAAGTTTAGAAATTTTGAGCTCTGCTGACAAATCAAAGTACCTCACTTACTGGTAAAGACAGGTATCTGCTCTGCTTCTGTCTTAGAACTAGCTCTGTCCACAGAGATCTGTGAATCAGGTTGGACGCAACCTCTGCCAAGGCTGGCAGGCAGCTTACTTCCTATATAGTGAGGCCCAACAAAACTACTTGTTGCAGATTGTGGATTATTATGAAAAAAGATCACATATACAAAGTAATTTTGTTTGCTACAACAAATTATAGCAATAACGAAGAAAAGACTGCCAGTAAGACTTGCCAGTAAGAGACAGAAAAAGAGCTGGAATCAGTGATTCTCACAGTCAGAACTTCAAGACCGTTCTAGGCACTGAACAGCACTGCAACACATCAATATGAGGATCTGCAGTTAAGAAAGGTCACAAAATGAGTAACTAAACCAACTTTTCTCTGTGGTAGGAAAAATTATGTAGAAAGACTTAAGTTATTTTCTTTTGGTACCCATTTCCGTGCCTTCATTAATGCAGCCCATGGAAATGGTTTCAATTTCCTTATATTGTCATGCTGAGTTTTTTTATGGAGGAGAAAATAGATGGCAAGTAGCAACATGATTTAGTTCTGCATGAAAAAACTAAGTATTGTTGCATTAAAGGTGACATTTATGAAGTTTAAGGATACAACAGTTTTAGCATAGTCAAATCTACAGTAAGTATATTTTGTTTCAGACTTTTTTCTCCTTAGAAAAGTCTCAAGCTCCAAGGAAGCCTACTATTCCCTGGCATTAGAGCTATCTGCGAGTGACTTTTGAAGAATACAATTTCAACCATGGCATAGCTCCCTTTTCAAGTTTTTGCATCATCAATTACTTAATTTCTTGCCCTAAAGGACACATCATTTCTTTTTGCTATGAAGACTAAAAGTAGCAACTGAAAAGTACCTCACTTTCGGCTATGACTTCACCCTATTCAATCATTAGGAAATCATTAAAGAAAAGCAGCCACTGCTTAACTCAGTTTTTCTTGATGTTTCACCCTGGTCCATGCTATCACCTGAGCTATGTAAAAGGAAATGAGTACAACAAATGTTGTACAAACAGCACAGTATCACTGTATACTAATTAACAGAAATCAAAGAAACTCAAACAACTCTTATTTAGCAATTTGGATTGCTGTAAAACTGAGAGTTTTTGATAACACATTATGCAACACCACAGTGGAGACAACTCACTATTTAATCTCAAAGTTTTCTATAAGCAGTAAGCAACATGCACAAACTTGTGTTTCTGGAATTACATACGGAAAATATGGAAAATATCTATCCTCTGTTCCCTCAGGGTACACAGTTCACTTTTTGATCTTTATACATTCTGTGGTATGTAAGCTAGTGAGAAACGCAGGTCTAGTTTCTTTTCAAAGTTAAAGAGTTTAGTTTTTATTTCAACCCATTGTAAAAGGCACATATACACATAATAACAACTCTTGTTTGTGGGAGATTCTACTCCTATTTCCTCTCAATCGAACATATGGGCACAAGAATTCCTTCACTATTGCACCAGTTTTGCAACAGCAACTGTACTATGGTAAACAAGACACTTCACCTTTCCATGCCACAACTTCACTGCAGCCCGTAGATGTCACACTGGTGGGCAACTCTGGAAAGGTTCAATATCCAGGCAAGAGCATTATTATATACCACAGAGGGACAAGTTCAATTAATAATGATGAATACCACTGCTGTCTGCCCAAGACCTAAGCTGCCATATAGAAGGTCACACCATAAAACCAGAGGCAGAGAGGCTGCTGTCACAAATGATTACAGAAGTATTGTTTCAAAAACATGGGAAAATGTGAAAAGTAGTGAAAGAACTGCTGACAAGTTAAGCATTCACATACAAAGTAAGGTTTTACACTAAAAAGTATTTGTAAATAAGAGGCAGAACATTGAATGTAGTCTAACTGCAGAAAAACACTTAGAACTTGTTTCTACCTGAATAAGTAATAACAGGAATTAATAGATGTGCTGCCCACCTTTACAAGCAGACTGTTCAAACTCACTCCCAAGAACCAAACAGTCCATTTCTACTTTTGCAGCTACTTCACAGCATAGAGGCTCTAAGTAATACAGGAATGATGACACAGAAATAAGCTCCAATAACATAACTGCATATATTTATATACTGAAGATATGACTAGCTTCGTTTTATGGCAGGTGAAGAAGTTGCACTTTTATCCAGAAGAATCACTGCAACTGGTTTCTGAAACCAGGCTTAAGCCTATCAGTAAACAAGCACCTTTAGATTTCCATTCCTGGTCACACAATTCGTTAAAGTTTAGCCACTTTAATAGAAAACAGGAGCAAATAAGTTATTGCTCGAGCAGCCGGACCAGCGACACCCAGTCTTCGAAGGCCTGCAGTTCCCACTCCTAATGGAATGCGAGCTCCCACTCAGCTTTCCTCCATCCCGTACGTCCCGGTGCGGG